CTTAGGAATTACAAAAACTGGCGGAGAAGTAATCCGAAAGCCAAGAGAACTTTATTGACTTGAATAAAGAAGGAAAGATTACAGAAGAAATGGAAAGTGCCGATATAACAAATTTCCCAGATTTTGTCTGTCTTCTACTGGTGCCCATCTTCGCCTTTTATAAGTGCTAAGACGGTGAGCTTATAACCGGCTAACAAACTTATGACATCTGCTGATGTCATAAGAATCTTACAAATCAGTACTAACTAACTGTAACAACTTTCAGTAACTAACTGCAACAAAACCCAGCTGTGGCCCTCCATGCAAACCCCATGCACGCACATGCAGCCCCTAAACTTACGTAACCCCGTTCACGTGTATCAATACCCGCCTCTCAAAACAATCCTTGTCCTCAAGGATTGAAATGAGGGAACTGTAGCCGCAAGTCCTGCAAGTACTCCCAAGTTGCATCTTCGGGAAAGCTGTTACTCCATTGAACCAGCACCTGTGTAGCCGCAACTCGCCCACGCTTGACCAGACGTCTGTCAAGAACAGCTATGGGCTCTGCCAACATCTGTCCTTGGTGTGTAATTCCTGCGGGAATCTGAGCTTGAGTGCCCCCTGTGCCAACCTTCTTTTTGAGCAAGGAGATATGGAATGTGTCATGGATACGGGCATGCGAAGGTAAAGCTAACTTGTAGGCCACTGCTCCTATCCTTGCCAACACCTGAAATGGACCAAAGTAGCGAGGTGACAGCTTCTGACAGTGGTGAGAACGTAGGGAATGCTGTCTGTAAGGCTGAAGTTTCACATAAACCCAGTCACCAACCGCAAGTTCCCTCTCCGACCTATGCTTATCAGCTAACTGCTTCATTCGATGTTGAGCCTTGGACAGATTATGTCTCAAGGAGTGAATGACCTTCTCCCTAGCTTGTAAGCTCCTATCCACGGAAGCACATGCTGTGGCCTCAGGTAGGTATGGAATGTGAAGAGGGGCCGGCTGCCCATAGACAATTTCATATGGAGTGAACTTAGCAGAAGAATGGAAATTTGTGTTATACCAGTACTCTGCCATTGGCAACCACGAACTCCATTCTCTGGGATGGTCACCCGTCATACATCTTAAATAGTTCTCCAGACATCTGTTGACTACCTCTGTCTGACCGTCGCTCTGAGGGTGATAAGAAGAAGACATGTTCAACTGAACCTGCTGCAACCTGAAAATTTCTCGCCAGAAGGAGCTTAGAAAGATGGGGTCTCGATCACTAACAATGGTCTGGGGAAGACCATGCAACCTGTAAACCTGGTCCATGAAGAGCTGTGCAATGGAGATGGCTGTGTAAGGATGAGCTACGGCCATGAAGTGGGCATATTTACTGAGCCTATCGACCACCACGAAAATCACCTTCTTGCCATGTGAGAGAGGTAAGCCTTCGATAAAATCCATAGAGATGTCAGACCAGATCCTCTGAGGTATGGGTAGAGGTTGTAATAAGCCCGGATAAGCTACATTATCTGGTTTATTTCTTTGGCAGATGTCGCATGCTGCTACAAAATGAGCCACATCCTTGAACATGAATGGCCAGTACAAGATCTGCTTAAGCCTCCTGTACGTTACCTCAATTCCAGAATGCCCCCCTTGTGAGCTCGAATGCCACAAGGTAATCAATCTGCCCCTTAAAGACGGGTCATTGCCAACCACCAGTTTTCCCTTCCTCTTTAACACTCCCTGGTGCCACGAGTAGTTGCTCGAGCACGGACCATTATTGGCTAACCTCTGGATCAAGTCCTGAACTACTGCATCCTGTTGCCAACTCTGCTGTATGTCCCTGATCAAGGACGTTGTGATAGTGACCATGGTACATAGAGAACTGCCCTCCTGAGGTTGCCTGGATAATGCATCTGCCACAACGTTGTCACTCCCCTTCTTATATTGTATTTCATAGTCATACCCCATCAGCTTGGCTATCCATTTCTGTTGCAGTGGTGTATGTACCCTTTGTTCAATAATGTACTTCAAGCTCTGATGGTCCGTTTTAATGACGAAATGCCTTCCCACCAAGTAAGCTCTCCACTTCAAAATGGCAGTGACTATGGCTAACATTTCCTTTTCGTATACTGATAGAGCTTGATGCTTGGACCCCAATGACTTGCTGAAGAAAGCTAGCGGTTTCCTTTTTTGCATTAACACCGCCCCAATCCCATTCCCAGATGCATCTGTCTCCACGATGAATTCCTGGCTAAAATCTGGCAGAGCTAGGACAGGGGGGCTACTCATAACTTCCTGCAACTTCTTAAAAGCTTGAGTAGCTCCATCGTGCCACTGAAACTGATTCTTTTTAAGCAAGTCAGTTAAAGGCTTTGTAATTTTACCATAATCTCGTATGAACCTCCTATAATACCCAGTGAGACCCAGAAATCCTCTCAATTCCTTGACTGTCTGCGGCAGTGGCCAACTCCGAATGGCATCAGTTTTCTTGGGATCAGCTTGGACGCCTTCTGCATTGATAATATGCCCCAAATAGTCAATTTGCTGCTGAGCAAAAGCACATTTACTTCTTTTTACCTTCAGTTCATGACTTCTCAGTAGTTCAAACACCACACTCAGATGCTGCAGGTGCTCCTCCCAACCGCCACTGTATACCAAAATGTCATCAAAGAAAACCAAAATAAACTTCCGCAAGAATGGCCTAAAAATGTCATTCATTAGACCTTGAAATGTTGAAGGAGCATTAGTTAGCCCAAAGGGCATAACTAGAAACTCATAGTGGCCATCGTGAGTTCTAAAGGCTGTCTTCTCCACATCTTCAGTTTTCATTCTAATCTGGTGATAACCAGACCTCAAATCTAATTTGGTGAAGAACTTAGCTCCAAAAAGTTCATCCAACAACTCTTCTATTAAAGGAATGGGAAATTTATTCTTTATTGTGGCATTGTTTAGCTGCCTATAGTCAACACACATTCGCCAGGACCCATCCTTCTTTTTCACCAAAACTACTGGTGAAGAGAATGGACTAGAGCTAGCTCTGATGAGCCCACACACAAGCATTTCAGCGATCAATTTTTCAATTTCTCCCTTCTGGAAGGCCGGATACCTATAAGGTCTTACATTGATAGGTTCCGTACCTTCTTTTAAAACAATTCTATGATCATGCAATCTTTCAGGAGGTAAGCCATTTGGTTCTTGAAACAAATCATCATATTCATTTAACAAAGAATCCAGACCCAACGATTGACTAACCTGCTCACCACTGGTTCCTACAGCAATACTAGAAAGAGGTAATGGTTCTGGCTCCGGCTCTTGGATCATCCTGATTAGGCAGATTTGAGCTCCTGCAATTTGTTCAGGCTTTTGGAGTAGCCTCTGCATTTTTCTCTGTTTCACCAACTGTAGCCCATGTTGCTTCATTCCCCTCAAGACCACCTTGTGGCCATCCGACAAGAACTCCATCCTGAGATCCCTAAAGTTCCATTTCACGTCCCCAATGGTGGTTAACCACTGCATTCCCAATACTACTTCGCATCCACCCACAGGTAGTACCAACAAGTCGGCCTTAAACTCTTGCCCCTGCATTTTCCAGGTGAAGCCTGAACAGAGTTCACGAGTAGTCAACTTGTTTCCGTCTGCTACTTCTACAATTAGGGGGTCAACCTGCCGTGTACTTAATCCCAGCTTTTGTGCAACCTTGGGGTGGATAAAATTATGTGAGCTACCACAGTCTATGAAAATGTTCACAGACTGCCTTCCCACATGCCCAGTGACCCTCATTGTCCTGAAATTAGGAACAGTCATGTTAGTCATGGCATTGAGGGAAATATGAGCTAACTGTCCCTCATCGACCGTACCCCCTTCCTCATCTGTTTCCGTCTCATCCTTATCTGATTCATCATCCCAAACCTCCAGTCGGTGGAATTGCTTACTCCCGCACCTATGCCCAGCAGTAAACCTCTCATCGCACCAGAAACAAAGTCCTCGTGCCCTTTTTTCATCCATTTCTGCCCTACTCAATTTCCTGAAAGGCCTCCTAACAACTAGCTCCTTTTGTCTTTCATTGCTAGGGAGTGCTGGAAACGTAGGCAGGGGCAGCACTGCCTTAGAGTCCGTCTTCCATTTAGGCTTAAGAGCATTCACATGGATTGGTGTGGTACCAGTGCGATCATAATAATTCGTGAAAGGTTTGGGTGTCACCTTTCCATTCGATTGTACTGATATCTTTGCTTCTTCGATCTTGGCCAGAATTCTGGCATGTTGCACACTTTTAGGCATGAACATCCGTACAGTCAACTGGATTTCGGGCTTCAACCCGCTCAGAAAACAACTTGTAGCGTAATCTTCTGGGAGGTCCACTCTGTTGAGTAGTTCTTCAAACAGATCGTGGTAGTCTTGTACTGTCCCAGACTGCTTCAAGCTCTTCAATTCGCCCATTGGATCGTCGTACAGGGAATCGCCAAACCTTGAGGACAGCTCCCTTACGTATTCTTCCCACACAGGGGGTTCACGAGTAAGCCTAGATTTCATGAAAATTTGGTGCCATTGAAGAGCCTTACCTTCCAAATTCATGGCCGCTATTTTGACCTTGACTGAGCCAGGAGTGCCATCCACTTCAAAAAACTGCTCGCTCTTGTACAACCATCCTCGGAAGTCCTCCCCGTTGAATTTCGGGAAGTCAATACGTGACAGTCGCGAAGGAACTTGATATCCTCCCCTGCTACTTGTTGGAGTATCCGAATGGTGAGGAGAGCTGTTCCCCTCGCCCTGAGCCTTCTGTGTGTGAAGCTCGATCACCAAATTCCGCAGAGCCGCCATTTCCCTCTCAAATTGCTCCTGCTGCTCCTTCAGCAAAGCTCTGACTTGTTCCTCCATTTTCCTGACATCCTGAGACCTAGTGCCCTCTGCCATCGATGATTGGAGCTGGCGTAACCCAGCTCTGATACCACTGATGCAAAGGACAGTAGAGGTCCTCAATCTCTGACTTAGGAATTACAAAAACTGGCGGAGAAGTAATCCGAAAGCCAAGAGAACTTTATTGACTTGAATAAAGAAGGAAAGATTACAGAAGAAATGGAAAGTGCCGATATAACAAATTTCCCAGATTTTGTCTGTCTTCTACTGGTGCCCATCTTCGCCTTTTATAAGTGCTAAGACGGTGAGCTTATAACCGGCTAACAAACTTATGACATCTGCTGATGTCATAAGAATCTTACAAATCAGTACTAACTAACTGTAACAACTTTCAGTAACTAACTGCAACAAAACCCAGCTGTGGCCCTCCATGCAAACCCCATGCACGCACATGCAGCCCCTAAACTTACGTAACCCCGTTCACGTGTATCAATCTGTTGTAATCTTTCTCCTTAATGCCGTCATCAAGACAATGAAAGTCCATTAATCTCCTTACATACTTGGACAATAATGCTTGAACCCAGGCATTTATTAGGTCTAGCTTAATGTAGCCTGTTCAAAGAAGCTAGAGATAATTTTAGTCACTAGATGGACATCCTTTTTCTAGAGTTTGCGCAAGATTAAATGAACACCGTATTGAGGATTTGTAGTGATACGATTAATCGGTGCATGGACATAGGATGGAGAGAGCTCAAGGGCAAAACTTCGTAGAATTAGCGACATCGCCATTTTTGCCTCCAAGAGTACAAAGTTATCCCCAATGCAGACTCGTACCCCCAAGGTGAAGGGGAAGTAGGCGCCTTGGGCATTTGTTGCCTTTGATATCCCCTCGGCGAATCTCTCTGGCTTGAATTCCAGAACATCATCACCCCAGTATTCAGGGTCATAGTGGACCAATACTTGTGGCATTTGAAATTCCACTCCTTCTGGAATGAAATCCTCCCCAAGTGTAGTGTCTTCAGCACTAACTCTTGAGACCTCGGGTACTAGGCAATATAATCGTAGAACCTCGTTCAAGATCATTGTTACCTGCAAGCGAGTGGAGTATGATGAATGGCTAGAAAATATTGACTACACTTAACGAATTAATCATTGCAAATTTTCATGAGAGTATTTCTCACAAGCGTCGAAAATCTTGTTAATAGATCAAAACTCTGGGATTCTTGGATTCAGCTAATTCTTAGGATTGAATACTCATTGTATATATTCAAGTGATCAGGACAGTTTGTTGACGTCTTCAAGAATATAAAGTATGCAGTATTATGAGTTGTGTTTTGTATGATGAAGATTGAAGAACCTGAGTGGAATAGATTTACAGTCTTACAGTTTTTAGGCTGTTTAGACCATCATAGGTCAGCATTTTGTCCCCAAAAACTCGAAAAATTTCTTCCCTAGCACGTTGCTGCCAATCAGGGAATCTACTCAGGAGGAACATCGCCCACACAATCAGGTTTGTGCCGGTTTCCTGCCCGCCAAAAAAGAACAGTCTGCTCTCAGTTATGACATCTTGATCAGTCAGTACCTCGCCTTTGTTGTTGCCCTTTAGCGCATTCAAGTTGGATTCCACCAATATACCCAAGAAGTCATCACCAGATGCTTCTCCTGCTATTATTGCCTTTCTCTTTTGGTCAATGATTACTTGTACTCTACCTCTTAGTTCTCTGTCCAATGCTCTTAACCTACTGTTTCTCTTGGTTGGCAGAAACCTTGAACCAGCAAATTGAACAACACAATTATATTTACCCAACAGAAAAAAAAGAAAGGATAATGATCGAGTGCAAATTATAATGGATCTGCTTTTAACAAATTGGTCAGCAGCGATGTTGAATTTTACCTCAATCCTGGAATGTAAGTTGAACTAATGGCGTCCATAGTAAGAGCGGCAATTTCGTTAATTATCTCCAGGATTCTTTGTGCTTCTGCAAACCTAGTCCCAAAGAGTGTTCTTGAGAGCATCTCTCCTGTTAAATCCTTAATTTCTCGCCACACTTCCACCTCCATTGAACCCTTCCCGGATACCATACTCTCCCATCTGCTCAACATCTCCACGCAGCTGATATGAAATGCAGGCAGCATCAGCTACAAAGCAGGACAAAAACCCATAATCGTCAGAACTCTTTTAACATAATTCGGCTAATAACAAGCAATTAATCACACTTGAAATTGTTGGTTATGATCAAGTATGCATCAAGCATAAATGTTCAATAGTATGAAAACCTTTAATTTCTCAGCGTGGAAAGCACGGCCGAGGATCCTTCTGCGCTTGACCCATGGCTCCCCTTCTAAGGCGCCCAGTCCAGAGAAAAGGATTCTGGCAATTGGATCATAATTTTGGAAATTTTTGTGAAATACGCTGTACCTATTCATGACTTCTTTGATTAGTTCTGGATCTGTCACAATCACTCTTGGAAATCTCCCATTCCAATAGAAACATTTTTTTCCTGCAAATGCATGAGTTCAAGACTATTTTTTTCCCATTCATGAAGTATGAATAAATAAATAAATAAGTAAAATTAAAACAAAAAAAAAATAAGTTCATGGTGTTTCATATCTCAGATTACAAACCATGAATTTGGACAGTGTTGATAAGATGGGGCATGGTGCGTTTTACTATATTTTCATTAAGTCCAATAGGCTTGGATAGAGCTTCCCCGATCAACTTTTTCTCATACGGGTCTCCTCGGAGCCTATAGGGACTGCCTTTGTAGCCTTGTTTCCTGAGACATTTCTCAAGCCTCTTTGGCTTCAACCAATACATCTCCAACAAATTATAAAAGCAGTAAATGACATAGCCTAACAATCCCAGGACGGGAACAAGCATGTAGCTCGTGGAAACTTCCATTCTCCTTGTTTCAGCAAGGACTGGGGGACTGTTTTAGCTTGCTTTCTTGGGTGAGAAAGCAAAAAAGATGTATTGAAAAGGTGACGAAGAGGGAAAGTGGAAGCAAAGATGGATGAATTTGCTTATGGCTGTGGGACTACTTATAGATGTGTCTCAATGAACCAAGAATCGTGAGTTTTCCAAATCTACAAGCCTAATATTTTGTGCAAAGAAATTAAAGAAATAAATTAACAAATAAAATAAAAAGTGTTGTTCGTAATTTTCTAATGAAAAGATAAAATAGCACTACTTCACTTTGTTGGTCAAATATTATAGTTGGCACATCTTGATTTTCAAGTCTGCTATTGGCATTTTGGAGACTAATTCTCGATGAAGTAAGAAATATTATTTATTTTCAAGTCTGCTATTCGCCGTTTAGACCAAATTTTTTTTTTTTTTTTAAAAGTCTGCTATTGGCATTATGGAGACTAATTCTTGATGGAGGAAGACATGCTGTCCTAGCTTGGGGTAAGATGGATCTGGTTCATCTCAGGTGAATTCCCTCTCTCTATTTTTTGTAGTGCACATATAGATGCATGACACGTATTTTCATTTATTAACAAAGATTACTGAATTTTTCTTTAAAACCTCCCACCTCTCTCTCTTTAACTGTCAGACATGATATTTAAATCCTGAATTTCATAGCAGAAAAGACCTTAAGAGTCATTTCCCAACCATTGACCATTTGATTGGAGAATTTGCTTGTAAATATGTAAATAATATATCTTCTTGTAGCTGATCTGTTCACCTCTTTGTACAAACATTTTTGTTCAATCTTTTGCTTAAAAAAAGGTGGCAAGAATGTGTACAAAATTCACAAGACAATTAACTCATAGTCATTGAAACAAATTAAAAGAAAATCTTAACACGTGCATGCACATGATAACCCTCACCCTACAATGGAAGACCCTAATTTAAAGAGGGAACACTTGGGATTCTCGGTGACAAGTTTTCTATACCAATTCAATGCCACCTCTAGCATTCCGTCAAGTGTCCTATTATTATTTGGGGCTTTAATTTTCTAATAATCCAAATTGGTTTGGATTAACAAAATTTTCCCTCAACCTCTAAGACTTTGAACTGACCGGTCTAATTTTTCTTCCAATTTTGAGAGAAACGACAACCTGGGAGGCTCAGATTCTTGGTCCTCATCTGGTCGGCCTCCACGGATATCTGAATGCCGGGAAATGCAGAGGATCTGAAGATCGGGATGCAGATTAACTCGGGGATGTAGGGAAAAGGAATGCTGCTACAATTCAGACCAAACTTTCTGCAAGAATAGTTGCAGAGACCAAGATGACATTATTGGTATTCAAAATCTGCCCCCAACCTTTTGATCCAAAAACAAAAAAAAAGTGAAACGAAAAACCGCTTGATGCCCACGTGACCGGTCTAACAGGATTATTCATTATAGCACCAAGAAACAAAATGTAATTGCCATTAGCATGAAAACGCAGTCAGAGGAGGAGGTATTCTTTTGGGGAAAATGTAATTGCCATTAGCATGAAACGCAGTCAGATCCTCTTTGGAATGGTGACACAACATTCAAGACCTTTCTTCAACTTTCAACTTATTGGACAAGGTGCGGCAATTTTGTTTAGGGTTATCTTTTTCTTTTTCCCCAAAGCAACCAATCTTGAGTGGCTGCCGTACAAAAGTATTGGAAGAAAAATTAGACCGATCGGTTCAAAGTCTTAGAGGTTGAGGGAAAATTTTGTTAAACCAAACCAATTTGGATTATTAGAAAATTAAAGCCCCAAATAATAATAGGACACTTGGCAAAATACTAGAGGTGACATTGAATTGGCATAGAAAACTTGTCACCGAGAATCTCAAGTGCCAATTCATTGCCGGTGGTCATATTTTAAAACAAGGGATAATATCAGAAACCTCCCTTGAGGTTTCTGTTAATATCACTTGGCACTCTTGAAATTTTAGAAACATCACTTACCTCCCCTAATAATTGTACAAAGACTATATTAACTCTCACTTGACACATAATTCACAACATATCAAATAAATGGAGCTCAAAAATTAAAAATAAGAAACAAAAGTCACTTTCTTCTTTTTTTTCCTTTTCTCTATCCTTCTCTCTTACTCATATTTTTTGGATGACCATGCAATATTTTATTTATAAATTATATTAAATTAAATTTTGTTTATCTTTTACTTTTTATGATTGTGATAAAGTAGGGTGTGATTTATTTGCTTATTTTGAGTTGATTTTAATAAATTGGTACAATTTAATTGTTTGAGCAAGGTTTGAGAAGATGGTGGGAAAAAATATAAATTTATAAGAAATTGATTTTGAGCGTATAGAATTAAATTGATGCAAGTGTATTTCAATTAAATTTATTTTTTATTTTTTAAATTTATGTTTTTATGGGGTATGGTATTGTGATGTGATAGTATTACAAGAGATTGTTTTTGAGGTGATGGTTTTTTTTAAATAAATGAAGTGGTTTAAAAATATTTTTATTTAGCAAGCGTAAGTCCAGTTTAGGATTTTTAAAAATTATGTTACACACATAACAAAAGTAAGGGAGGTAAGTAATATTTTTAAAATTTTAGGGGTGCCAAGTGATATTAAAAAAACCTTAGAGGAGGTTTCTGATGTTATCCCTTCCATAGGTCGGTTGAAATTGCTTGTCCCTAGGAGAGAGAGTGAGGGACTCCTCAGCCTGTCTCAAAAAATGCTCGGGACTATAACCCCACAATTCCTTAATTCCATTAAAGGGTTTAGTTGTGCTATTAACATCTAACAAATATAAAAGAGCCAGATATTTATCTATTTAAAGAAAGCATCTTTTGGTTGGTGTAGTCCACGTTCTAAATTTCTAATAAGAAGATGGAATACATATGGCTGCTGATTATGTGTAACTATCGGAAACAAACATGCTAGCACACATTGAATATTTTTTTTTTACCTATGTTGATCGATTTATTATTCTGCTACTCAAAATAGTTTTCAACATCTTTTGAACTAACTCCAGTTTTGCACCCTTAAACTTGTACCACTTCTTCACTTTACACGTTAAGCTTCAATTTTGGACACTTTGCACCCTAAACTCTCAATTTTGGGCACTTTACAAACTCTCAAATTTGTCCCATTTAATTCCAATCAGTGACAATGTTAGCAAAATTAAGAAAATAAAGGATGGTGTAGATTAATGACAATCTATTTTTTTTGGTTCTAGTCATGACCCCTTGACTCTATTTTATTACTTTGAGGACGTTGTCATTGATTTCTATGATCTCAATTATGAATATTATTAACAAAATTAATGACATAAAAAGCAATGTAAATTAATGACACTATATAGTTTTATTCTTGTTGTGATATCTTGACTTCTTTTGATCACTGTCAATACATCATCGTTGATTTGTAGGGGGTGCTTAACGCCAATAATTTTGCTAATGTTATCATTGATTGGAGTTAAATACGACAAACTTGCAAACTTAGGGTGCAAAATTGTCCAATTGAGAGTTAAAAATACAAAATATTCAAAATTGAAGTTTAGAGTGTAAAGTGAAAACGTGATATAGGTTTAGAGGTGCGAAGTGGAGTTAGTCCAAATCTTTTATGGGTCTTTGCTCATTTTAACCATCCTAAACACGACCATCCAACATCTGCAACGATCAGCCTGTAAAGCTACCTGATTTTGCTGATCGCTACATTTTCCGACACCTTTCAATGGATTTGCCATCTTTTTTCCTTTCCAAGGTTACGTATAAGAATAAGTATTCCAAAAATAGTAATACAAACAAGCACTAGCATTTTTATCTTCCCACCTGAGTTCTGGGTAAATGATTTTCATCCAGAGGAGTACTATCTCAACGTTTTCTCAATCAACCTTTGTCAACATTCTTTTTTTCAGCAATCCTTATTTAGGTCTAGTCCTCAGTTTCTCGATCTGTTGTCCGTTAATATTCCAAGTCCTTATAGCTGCATTGATTGTTCATTTTTTGATGTTGCAATTCAATTCCCCTCACATGTTTGTCTGTTGAAATCAATTTTCATTCCTAGTTTTTTTTTTTTTTTGGTAGACTAGGAATGAAAATTAACCTAGCGTCTACCACATGATCACTCATTTTTTTTTTCCAGTTCAGGACATTTTTTTGTCCCGACTTATTTTAAAGTTTACCCTTTAAATGACCTCTTAATCTGCCACCGGCCTAGCCCTTTGATAGAATATATCGTTATCTCGATTTCATGAGACATATGCTATCTTCCTATTGCATGCACCTTTCTATGTCGTTTCCATTCTTTTTCTATGTCATTTTCAATCTTCCAATCTGTACGCAAAAGTCCACTCTTTTGTTTTAATAAGAAAAAGTCTGGATAGTTCAGGATCAAAGAAAGGATACATGCTACATCTAAAATTTAAAATAAGCCAAATTGTGGAAAGGTCACGCAACAGTTAAGATACATAAAATTATACTTGGTGAGGTGCCATGAATCAAGTCCAATGGAAGGATATGCATAATCTGAGTTAATTTTACTTTGCATCTTTTAACTATAACCAAATTACTACTTTGGTCCCTAAATTTTAAAGTGAGATACTTTAGTTTCTAAAGTATAAATTTGTCCCTTTTAAGTAAAATCATTGATGGAAATGGGAAAGATTTTATACTTTAGTGGGGTCCTATTTTATACTCTAGGACTAATGTGAAATAGATTTTTATACTTTAGCGACTAACATGTGACATATTATATACTTTAAGAATTAAAGCGACATAGATTTTATTCTTTAAGGATAAAAGTGCCCCATTTGGTAAGTTTAGCGACCATAAAAATTTGGGTATAGTTGAAGAGTGCAGAGTAAAATAAACACTGCAATATCTAGTTGGTTGTAACCATGCATTTGTTAGTTCTAACTTTTCTACCCAAGCATTGAGACAAAAGAGCTAAAAGACTAAATTTTATAAAATTTAATATACTTATTATAAGACAAGCATAG